TATGTAAATGTATATATTTTCTAGCGATAGTTATTTATGACTTAAACAATTAAGAGAGAAAGGAAATTTTTGTGACAAGCATATTATTTCTTTTAAAAGATTATTTATGGTTTAGTTTGGTATTATCATAAAGGTCTTGATAAGAATGAAAGACTTTTGGTTTTACAATTTTTTACGGTAAATTTTTTATGTCAAATTTTCGGAAGAGTGTTTAATAGTTTTCTAATTCAATAAATTTGGTCGGTCACATTTGTCATTCGAATTATTTGTAATTAATCTAGTGATAGCACTGTTATAATTAATAATTTATTTATAAAGTACCCAATTTTATGTCCAGTGTGATTTCAAATATAAATAAAATCATTCAGCTAAAGTTTTTTATTCATAATTCATAAATCTCAGTGGTCGCATATTAACTGCAGTAATTTATTAATACGTGTAATAAAGAGTATTTACTACTATTACCATTATATAAAAAATCATATAAATAAGAAATCTAAATAAATTTGTAAAAAAATTTACAACCTCAAAATACCGTTCTGCTTACGGTAAATACACACTCGGTTTTTTATAGGTTGTATCAATTTTTTTTCGGTTTCTTACAATAATTTTATTTTTTCTTAACAATAATAGTTTAATTTTTTCTCTACGATATCTATAAGGCGTGTAGAACTAGAATTACAGTATTAACCCGGAAAAAATGTTTGAATTCGCGCTTCGCGACAGGTAGTGTCACCTGCTGGACGCAATCCAAAGTATCACATAGTTAACTCGTGGTTCGCCCCTAGATATCTAGTCTGCGGCGCAAACTATCCCCTTGAAGCTACAGTTTATGTAGGTATAATCACAGCGCACCCTGGCGGCCGTAAATGTAAGCTGTGAATACTTTTTTTAACTGTAGTTGCGTATCTATAGGAGGAATACTACACATTTTTATTTTATCTAGTCTGTGGCGCTGACTTTTACCCATCGAAAAAAAGTCAGGATCGAAAAATGTGAGCGCGCTATAGTATGTGCTGATAAAATTTAATAATTTCAAGTAAATAAATTGTAATAAGTGAATATAAATGAATTAATACGGTAAAATTAATTATGACTCTCTGTTATAATATACAAATTAGTGAAAAAAAGTACGGTATAATTAAATAAAATTATACAACCTCAAAAAACTGTTCTGCTTACTGTAAATACATTCGGTAGTCTGGCGCTCCGTTTGCAACGGGATTTTTGAACGGAACTTGGCGCCAGATTCTACCGAATCTGTAGATCAGAAAATGTCCGCTTGTTTTTCCTGTTTCTACCATGAATACCTTGGCTAGTGTATTGATGTCCATGTGATCCAAAGGCTGAGGTGGGTTTAATGTTGGATGTTTTTTCATCATGTCAGCAGTTGCTTGATGTAGTTGTTTGGCTGACAATGTTAAATAGGTGAGTTTACCCCATTTTGCATCTTCTATAATTTTTTCTGCGTTATTGAGAGTCCTTAGGTGATTGGTCATCAGGTGAATATGCTCATCTCCAGCCATCGAAAATAATTGGCTTCTTTGAAGGTCGCTTAGTTGTTTGTTTACTGCTTGCTTGAGGTAAGCTGATGTTCGAACCAGATCCTTGATTCTCTCAGTTATGTTTATTTCATGTTTGAGAATTTCATTTATTTCACTCTTGATGATATGAGTGTTGTTTTGTGATAAATGTATTAATTCCCTGTTGTCTTGATATAGTCTGTCTATTTCTTAGGTGATGTGTTCCTTATCGCTGTAATCCATGGTTCCGAACAGTTCTCGTGCTATTGTGCCTACGAATCCAAACCATGGAGCTCTTTTTGAGCGCTTTTGTGAGTCGAATTTTTCTAGTCGTGGATCTTCGAGGAGTTGTCTCAGCCGATGTTGAGCTTGTTCAATTTCTGTTTGTATTTCTTGATGGCTTTTTACTCTTATATATGACATGCAGATTGAATGGTTAAATTTTAACGAGCATATTCCGTAAGCTTCCCATAGAGTTTGGTTGGAATGCGGATACAGATTCACCAATTTTTCGACGTTGATGGAGCTAACCAGTTGCCATTCTTCTCTTATTAGATGGATTTTCTTGAATGGATCATACAGCAGACCTGGATTTGCCTCCATTGGTTTTATTTTGACTTCCCCTGCGCCCCAGGCCAGGTATCCAAGCCCCAGGAAGAGGAGTAGTGCGAAATTCATGTGGGAATTTTATTGATTGACCCCCTTTTTTTTTCTGAAACAGACAATCTAGGGTTCTTTTTAGTCGAATTTTTCGCAGCTGGCTGGCTTAACCTTATTTGGATGGAGTAATTTCCGTTTCCCGTTTTCTTTTTCTATTATTAAATTTCCCATATCGTTTATCTCAACTATTTCGTATGGGCCGGTATAGTAAAGGTCTAATTTATTTTTTCTAGGTTCTTTTAACGTATATATGAGATCTCCTACACTAAATTTTGCCGGGTGTATATGTTTGTCGAATCTGATTTTTGATTCGTGTTTAGCTCTTGTTAAATTTTCCGCGGATATTCGTTGGATTTCGGATATTCGACTGATTAAGTCGGCTAAGTAATCGTTATAAGATTCTATTTTACTGAAATCCGGAAATTGAGTTGGAGTTCGAGCTTTTCTTCCGTACAAAACTTCGTATGGTGTAAATTTTGTGGCGGTATGGACGGTAGTGTTATAATTTAACATTGCCATTGGGACGTACCGATCCCAGTTACTAAATTTATCTACATACGCTCGGAGGTAATCGATTAAAGGCTGGTGAGATCGTTCCAAGGCTCCGTTCGATTGTGGGTAATAAGAGGAAGTCGTTATTCTTTGGATTTTTAACGCTTTAGCTAGCTGTTGAATTAATTTACTTGTAAAAGAGGTGCCCTTATCTGATAGGATTACACGGGGGCATCCGTAAAGGGCAATGTAATGATTCAGTAAGGCATCTGCAACGGTTACTGCTCTTATATCAGGGAGAGGAACCGCCGCAGCTGCTTTGGAAAAATTATTCTGGATGGTTAAAATGTGTACGTTTCCGTCGGGAGTCATGGGTAGAGGTCCCACTGTGTCTATACTAATTTTTTCAAAGGGTTCGAAAGGTGTATCGGTGATGGACATTGGCTGTTTGGTTTTTATTCGCGTAAGTTTGTTTTTCTGGCATATCTCGCATGCTCGGATGTAGTTATAGATTTTATCTTTCATTCCCGGCCAGTAATATTTTTCGCGAATACGCCAATATGTTTTTACCACCCCTTTGTGGCTATTAAGCTGTTGTGATTTTCTTCGATTATTTTTGTTCGAAGGGATTCATCTGGTACTTCAATGTTCCCTTCGCACAAGGTGATCGTTATCGGACAGTCTCTTAATTCGTGCGATAAGCAAGCTTGAATGTCAAGATCTTCGAACTCGTCCCCCTGCTTTGCGCAGCGGAGCGAATGGATGTCATGTTTGTGCATCGACCGTCGAAGGTTTCTCAATCCTTCGATCAAGTCGATTGGGTCTAATTTTTCAAAATGTTTAGTTTTGATAAATACCGTGAAGATTTTACAACGACCTAATTTGGTAACGAATACATCTCCCTTTGAAGGTTTCGATGCATGGAGGTCATCGGCATTTATAAATTTTAGATCACGGAGTAATTTTGCTACGGGTTTTATTATTTCGCAATCGGCTGCTAAAAAATGTACTAAATGATCTCGGGCATAAGTAAGCCCGTCTCGGCTAATTGAGAATTTGATTTTTATTTTGGGTCCTTTTGGCGGTATACTTTCGTCTGAACTCGAGGGTGGAGATATTCTTGGTCGATGGCGCCTTTCGGCAAAAACATCTTCAGCCTCTTCGAAGGTTGGAGGGTCATAAGCGACAAAGGGTGGTCCGAATCGGCGGTCTCCTACATCATCCCCCCCTGTAATATTTTCGTTTGTAGTTGGTCTATCGTTTACTAATTTTTTTATATTTGTCGATTCTTCGTTCGGTTGTTCCTTTTCCGAATCGGTAAGGGTGTTATTGGGATCGGCCGATTTGGTTTCAGCCGATTCATTTATTTCTTTACCGTTTTCGTCTACGATCCTGCCGCTCGCGTGGTCGTAACGTATACCCATGGCCGCTAGTTCGGCGGGAATGAGAAAACTTCCGAAAATTGGAGTGCGCGGTTCTGGACCGTCGCCTAAATATCCGGTGAATCGCGATCGATTTGCGTTTTGAGGGGTTAAATTACTTTTATTTCTTATATCAATGTTGTCAACAGAAGTCGAAGGCTTTGGTTCTATGATGATAGGAGACTCTGCTTCGCTGGGGTCTTCACTTCTTCCGGTTTCTTCTGGGCTGATATCGGTACTTGACCTTTCCTCAGGCTTGTCGCTATTCTCTCTAAGAAATTCGTCGACATTAATTTCAGGTGTTGTGTTTTCGTCTAAAGAATCTTCTTCACTTCGCCAGAGAGGTGGAAGTTTGTTTAATGATTGGCGAATGTTTTTCGCGGTTTCGGAACTAGTACGTTTCATCTCGGCTAGCTCTTGAGGAGTATAGTGGAATATTGCTTCCTCTCGATGGATTTTTTTCTAGAGCTCTTTCTGTGTAGATATTTTCCGATGGGGGTCGCCTTTGGAGGAGTTCATCGAACATTTTTACTAATTCTTGAGTTTTTCTTCGCTGTTTTTGTGGAACGATTGTTCCAACCTCCTTTTCGGCTTCCTCGTCTTTCTCTTTCTCGTCGTCCCCCTCTTGGCCAATGTCCGAATTTAGATTACTCGTTGACGGTCCTGGTGTTGGAACTGGTAGGAAGACTTCGTCGTCCCCCTGTTCTTCATTTCCCGTTTCTTGTGTCTTTTCTGGGTCTTCTGATGTTATATCAAGATTGCTAGTTTCATGATAATTTATTTTTGGTGGGACTCGCGTTTTTCCCATCTCCCTTTTCTTAAGACGGGAGGCGATTGTCTCTCTTACTTCAGGAGCGCTGCTGACTCTTGGTCTGTTTTCAGATCCTAGGGGGCGACCGGGGCGCTTGACCGCTTGAATTGCCTCCGAGTCAGAGAGTTTTCTATTTGACCCTTTTGGTTTTGGCATAGCAGAGATTGGTAATGCTACAGGATTATTTTCGGTTTTATTATTTATCGCGTTTTCTGAAGGTTCGGGACGACCTTCTGGGTTATACGAGAGTCCTTCGGCGTATTGTTCCGTAATTTTGTGGCGGACTATGACACTAAATTTGTATTTACTTAATTTAGAGCGCCATTTAGCTTGTCGTTCGGTGACGGTCGCGCTATCTCTTAACCAGGTGACGCAAGGGTTACTAGTTATTAGGGTAAAATGGTTTTGGAGGTACGGTCGGAATTGTTGAATTGCGTAAACCACCGCAAGGCATTGTTTTTCTACGTCTGTATATCGGGTTTCAGTGTCGTGAAAGACTCTGGAAATACACGAGACTATCTTTTCTCTATCTCCTTCACCATCCCTCGCTGTCGTTGCTTGACTGAGGATTCCGGATATTCCCGAGTTTGACGCATGGACAGCTAGGATGAAGGGTTTATTAAAATTTGGATATTTTAAGAAAGAGTCTTCGCAGAGGGCATTTTTGATGTCATCAAATGCTGTTTGCGCTTCCTCTGTCCATATAAATGGTTTAGTTTTTCGCGTAAGATCGGTTATGGGCTTCGCCCTTTCGGCGAAATTTTGGATAAATCGACGATAATAGTTAGCAAATCCCATGAATTTTCTTGCTTCTGTATGATTTCTAGGTCACGAGGCATTTTTTAGTGACTCAACCTTTTTCGGGTCGGGTCTTATGCCTTCTTTTGTTATTACATGACCTAAGTAATCTACTTCCGGACAGAGAAATTTACATTTTTCCGGTTGAAGTGTGAGACCTGCTTCTCTCAATCTATTAAATAGTCTTTGTACTCTTACCCCATGCTCTTGTAGGGTTTTGCCATAGCTAACTAGATCATCGATATAAATAAAGAGTTCCGTCCCTTTTAACCCGCTTAGCGTAGAGTCCATCATTCTTTGAAAGATAGATGGAGCGCATTCTAGACCAAAGGGCATACAACGATATTCCCAGTGCCCGTCTGGCGTAGAAAATGCCGTTTTATGCGCATCTTCGGGGTGCATCGGGATCTGGTGGAAACCCATGGCGAGATCAAAGACGCTGAAGAAATTTGCGTNNNTTCGGCCGTTTCATTTATTCCCTTACCGTTTTCATCTACGATTTGGCGGCTTGCGTGGTCATAACGTATACCCATAGCCGCTAGTTCATCAGGTATGAGAACTCTTCCGAAAATTGGAGTTCGGGGTTCTGGACCGTCTCCTAAATACCCTATGAATCGAGATCGATTTACGTTTCGAGGAGTTAGAGTATTTTTGTCGGATTCATTCTCTTCATCATTTGTATCGATGACGTTTCTTGCATTGATGTCGTCTTCTGAGGTCGAAGGCCTTGGCTCAATGATAATGGGATTCTCCACTTCGCTGAGGTCTTCGATTCCTCCGGTTTCTTCTGGACTGATATCGCTTGATCCTTCTTCAGGCTGATCGCTGTTATCTCTTAGAAATTCGTCGACGTTAATTTCGGGTGCTGTATCCTCATTTAACGAGTCATCTTCGCTTCGCCAGAGAGGTGGAAGTTTGCTTAATGATTGGCGAATATTTTTCGCGGTATCGGAACTAGTTCGTTTTATCCCGGCATACTCTTGAGGAGTATAATTAAATATTGCTTCTTCTCTACGGATTCTTTCTAGTGCTCTCTCTGTGTAGATATTTTCCGATGGAGGCCGCCTTTGGAGGATTTCGTCGAACATTTTTACTAGTTCGCGTGTTTTTTTTCGCTGTTTTTGTGGAACGATTGTTCCAACCTCCTTTTCGGCTTCCTCGTCTTTCTCTTTCTCGTCATCCCCCTCTTGGCCAATGTCCGAATTTAGATTACTCGTTGACGGTCCTGGTGTTGGAACTGGTAGGAAGACTTCGTCGTCCCCCTGTTCTTCATTTCCCGTTTCTTGTGTCTTTTCTGGGTCTTCTGATGTTATATCAAGATTGCTAGTTTCATGATAATTTATTTTTGGTGGGACTCGCGTTTTTCCCATCTCCCTTTTCTTGAGACGGGAGGCGATTGTCTCTCTTAGTTCAGGAGCGCTGCTGACTCTTGGTCTGTTTTCAGATCCTAGGGGGCGACCGGGGCGCTTGACCGCTTGAATTGCCTCCGAGTCAGAGATTTTTCTATTTGACCCTTTTGGTTTTGGCATAGCAGAGATTGGTAATGCTACAGGATTATTTTCGGTTTTATTATTTATCGCGTTTTCTGAAGGTTCGGGACGACCTTCTGGGTTATAAGAGAGTCCTTCGGCGTATTGTTCCGTAATTTTGTGGCGGACTATGACACTAAATTTGTATTTACTTAATTTAGAGCGCCATTTAGCTTGTCGTTCGGTGACGGTTGCGCTATCTCTTAACCAGGTGACGCAAGGTTACTAGTTATTAGGGTAAAATGGTTTTGGAGGTACTGTCGGAATTGTTGAATTGCGTAAACCACCGCAAGACATTGTTTTTCTACGTTCGTGTATCGAGTTTCAGTGTCGTGAAAGACTCTGGAAATACACGAGACTATCTTTTCTCCATCTCCTTCACCATCCCTCGCTGTCGTTGTTTGACTGAGGATTCCGGATATTCCCGAGTCTGGCGCATGAACAGCTAGGATGAAGGGTTTATTAAAATTTGGATATTTTAAGAAAGAGTCTTCGCAGAGGGCATTTTTGATGTCTTCAAATGCCGTTTGCGCTTCCTTTGTCCATATAATTGGTTTAGTTTTTCGCGTAAGGTCTGTTATGGGCTTGGCCCTTTCGGCGAAATTTTGGATCAATCGACGGTAATAGTTAGCAAGTCCCATGAATTTTCTTGCTTCTGTATGATTTCTAGGTCGCGAGGCATTTTTTAGTGACTCAACCTTTTTCGGGTCAGGTCTTATGCCTTCTTTTGTTATTACATGACCTAAGTAATCTACTTCTGGACAGAGAAATTTACATTTTTCCGGTTGAAGCATGAGACCTGCTTCTCTCAATCTATTAAATAGTCTTTGTACTCTTACCCCATGCTCTTGTAGGTTTTTGGCATAGCTAACTAGATAATCAATATAAATAAAGAGTTCCGTCCCTTTTAGCCCGCTCAGCGTGGAGTCCATCATTCTTTGAAAGATAGATGGAGCGCATTCTAGGCCAAAGGGCATACAACGATATTCCCAGTGCCCGTCTGGCGTAGAAAATGCCGTTTTATGCGCGTCTTCGGGATGCATTGGGACCTGGTGGAAACCCATGGCGAGATCAAAGACGCTGAAGAAATTTGCGTCGCCTAACTGGTCTAAAATATCGATAATTAGTGGTAAGGGATAGGCATCCCCTCTGGTTATTTTATTTAGTTGTCTAAAGTCGATAACCATTCTATATTTTTTTATAGAAGGGTCATTGGATTTTTTTGGTACAATCCACAAAGGTGAATTGTATGGAGAATTAGATTTTCTTATTATTCCTTGTCTTTCGAGAGTTTCAACCTGCCTGGCGATTTCTTCTCGATGCTCTGGGGGAAATCGGTACTGTTTTATTCTCACTGGTTCATTGGTGATAGTTTCGATCCGGCAGGTGAAGTTTTTCGAGCAACCCAGCTTATCTCCAGGAAGATGGAAGACATCGTGATTGTTTCGAATAAGAGTCTTAACTTGCTCTTTTTCTTCTTCATTTAGATGACCTAGAGGTATTTTCTGAATTATGATCTTAATACGTTCTTCCGGGTTAGCTATACGATTGGAATTTTCGAGAAAAAGGTCATCGGATTCGTCCCCACTTGAGCTAGAGTTACTGAACTCGAACTCTTCGACTGTTTGGGGTCCGATATTTATGTCAACTGAATTTGAATTAAGGTTGATAACCATGCACGTGGCGTACCCATCTTCTACCTTAACAACAGCCTCTCCTCCGAGCACTCCGTCCGGAAGGTTCATTCGAGGGAGGTATCCTTCGCTTTTCTCGAAATCTTGGACTGGTACAGCTACTACCATTCTCATGCGAGGTGGTAATGTGTAGCTTGAAGAGGGCTTTGTCCCAAGGCTAAAGGGTGTTGTTTTAGTTGGGTAGGATAATAGAACTAAAGTATGGTTATCGTAAGAAATTTTTGCCTTTTCGGTTTCAAGGAAATTATTTCCCAGGATTCCCACTCCGGAGAATGGTAAATCCTCTCGACAAACCTGAAATTCGACTTCGATATTAAGAATTTTTAATTTAACTACTCCTAGAGTCTCAAAGGTACTGTCGCTGAGACCTCGGAATTTTCTAGCTTTTCCGATGTCAATAATTGCTTCGGGTTTTAAAGCGGATGCATTGATGAGGCATACATCCCCCCCGGTATCGATGAGGAATCGCTGATAATTCCCTAGAAGCATATTACAAGGCATATATAATTTTGGCCCGGTTTCTAGAGCGAGGATCTTTTGCTCCGGGAACCTTCGTGGGTTAATGATCGGTATTGGTTGTATAGGTCTATTTTTCAACACTAAAGTGTTCCAATAAAATAAAATGGTTACGCGATTTTCGAAAAAGAATTCGTTTCCGAGGATGGCCCTATAACCGCCGGGCGGTTCCGGTACGAGATGGAACGTGATTTTCACTCCGAATATTTTTAGATCTATTGAACCGGTTATTGGCATTGAGCTCGTAGCGATGCCCCCGACTATCCCCGTAAACACGGTGTTGCAGAGGGCCTCGTCGCGTAGTTCTTCGACGCAGAGAAGATTGAGGTCCGAACCGGTGTCGAGGAGAGCGTTTACTCCTCCGTTTCGAAGTGCTGTGCTTCGTAGATGGATTGATGGGCCTCTTCCTGTTGTTAGGCACTTTGGTTCGTCCTCGCCTGGATTCGTAGCTCTCCTGTTGTCATCAATTGCGGGTTTTGTTGTCCCGGTAGAGATGTAGTGTTGTTCTGGACTGGTTGTTGTTCTGGTCTCGGAAGAGTCGTTGATTCCGTCATGGTCGATTGATCCTCTAAGACTTGTTTCTGGGTGTTTTGCAAAATGGATCGAGGGTATTGATTTGAATAATTTCGATATTGACTCTTTGGATACTGCTGATAATTGCTGGGAGTCCTCGTTGAAATAGACGGAGACTGGACGGGCATACTCGCCATTGCCTCCGGTTGACGAGCGCCCGATCCGTTTAAAGGATCGTACGCGTCTCGAAGTTCTCCTTTTGGGCAAAATGGACAGTAACAGATTATCGTCGGGTCCGATTTGTGCCGTAATTTTGCCTCTTCCGAATCTTCATCTTCTTCAAAGCGTACCGCCCTCTTAGTGGGACCTGGTACTCCCGGATGATAACGATTTTGGTTATAATTTTGAAAAGGTCGCGGTTGATAATAATTTTGAGTCCTAGGCATATATTGCGTATTTCGCTCGGTTCCGAACGCAAAAGTAGAGCCCATCATTTGTTGTTCTACTTGATAACCCGAGCCGTAGTGACTGTCTTCATACGTGTCAGGAAATAGGTCATCGTAATACCCAGGAGCGCTTGTTCTTGGGCCTTGACTGTATTCTAGATATGCCAAGGTGCGAGGTAATTCGCGATAATTACCTCGATCGTCATAATCGCGAGAAGATCGCGGCATTTGCAGATAATGTCGGTTACCATCTTGCACGGATCGTCGGTGAAATTCTACTGAGGGTGGTAGAGCTTCGCCTGGTATGAGTCCGTCGTCTCTCATAGCGCGTCTACGTTCTGGTCTTCTGTATGCGTCATTTTCGTTGGCCTTGTACATGTCATCTAGAGTCTCTGCTCTCCTTATTTTGCACAGGCGTCGTAGAAAGTCCGGTAGATATTCGTATAATGTAGTAGCTGCTGTTTGTTCGAATGTACGTTTTACTACGGCCCTATCATCTTCGGGAGCGTTGAGCTCAATGCGACGGACCATCTCGCTTAACCGGTAATAAAAGTCTTCGATATTTTCGGTATCTTTTGGGACTGCCGC